TGTTTACATAGCTGGTCTGCTCTGTGTGCAGCTGAGTAGAGGGACTGAAACAGCTGTCTTTATCATCTACGTCAGTGAATTAAGAATTTATTTTGACCCAACCAGAGTTGGTGGTTGTTGGAACAGTGGAGTTTTATTTTTTTGTTAAAATGTCACAATGACATGCACACTTTTTGTCTATAGAATTTGGTGGCGAGTCATATTACGACTCTCTGTGAAGGGTTTATTCTGACCAATCCGACATTGGTGATGGTTGGAAAGACAGTTTTGGTTGGTCAGTTATATTTTATTTTTGTCCCATTGTTTTGGTCTGTGTTGCTGGTGCTCTAGTGTGTGTAAAGGTATGTGTGTGTGTGTCTGACCGTTGATGTTGTAGATGGAGAATCTGTAGGAGAAGTTGGCCATGTTGGCGTCTTGTCTGAGGGGAGCTTTCTGCTGAGGAGGTTGTTCTGGGCGACCATCATCCAGACTCTGCATAGACAAGAGGAGGAGAAAGTGAATGTGTGCAACACCTCTTCCACATTTTGGCAGAGGTCAATCAGTGGGCAGAGGTCAGATTTTAGGGCAACTTATAATATATTTTTAAAAAGTATTTCAGCTGTTCTGTGAAATTCGGTGACAGTTTATAGTAAGTCTACAGCACCTTTCTTGCAAATCAGCTACCTGTGTGAGTTTGTCCAGCTCTCCCAACCAGGCTCCAAACATCTTATCCAGGTCCTGGTCGTCCTTATCACTGTCCTCTTCTTCCTCCTCCTCATCCCTGACCTCCACCTCTTCGTCTGACAACTGATCCATCTGAGGGAGAGGACAGAAGGAGGAAGAGGAGAAGAGAAAAGAGGAGAAGGAAAAATGCAAGGAGAAGGAGGTTAATTCTTCTGCAGTTTCAAGGTAGAGTGTGATCCCGTAGCTCCATCTAGTGGCCAACAGGCTGCGCTATGCCGCAGTCGTTCATATTACATTCTGATTTTATACAATTTCTGTCTCTCTCTCTCTGAAGTAAACAGCAGAAGGCCCTTTGACTCCTGGATTGCCATCAGCACAAGAGTAAGGAAGCCAGGGGTCACAGCGCCCTGACAACACTGGAAACTCCAGCAGTCCGTTGGCTTCTTGAAACCTCTCTAAAGCTTCTTGGCACTAAGATTAAGACAAATGCTGAAAGCTGTAATAAAAATTCAAAGATGACAATAAAAGCCTGTGACAGATCCCAGCTGGTGAAAGTTATTAAAATACAAAACATGGACAGAATCTGAAAACAACAGCAAGAATTGAACAGTTAAAGGGACACAGTCCAGCTGTATTCAGTAAATCACACAAGATGCTGACTGAATTGCTCTCTCTTAAAAGTGACATGACACATTAAGGCATCCTAATGGTATTTTCAGACATTTTAAGTGCTTTTTAGAAGCTTTTCAGAAGAGCCAGGGTCAGGAATAAAAGTTGAGTCAGTCAGTCCATCCTTCCGAGTAGCACTTAATAAAACAACTTACTGCCCAAAACTGGGGTCATCAACTAGGGTTGCAGCTGTCTACAGATACCATGCTGTACCATGGTATAGAATCATATTAGTGTCATTAAGGAAAAAAATCTATTGAATTATACTATATTAGCTTTATTAGTCTTAAATTCTACAGTATTAGCATTAGAAAAACATATTTCTTTATATCAAGTTTCTTGTGTGTCAGGATGTGTTTGTTCTAGAGTGTGACAGATGGGATTGTTGAGACCTATAATAATAAAAATTTTAAAGGAGAACTGACTACGGATATAGTCAATACGCACCAATATGACTCTGCAAAGGTACTCAGAAAGCTGCTTTCTGAAACAAATAACTTTATTAAAGAATATTTAAGTTATATATTCTTTAACATGTTAAATAATTTAACATATACATTGTCGACCAATGCAAGTTAATGTTGCTGAGAGCTGCTTCTTCTGTCTTACTCTATGCTGCTTTCCATACTATTGTAAATCACAGCGCGCTCTGCTGGATAAATTTGCAGTCAGACCAGTATATTACCACAAGCATTCTTTTCTGCATTACATTAAAAAAAAAAGGGGTTTATATATTAGTGCATATTGGAAATAACATACATGCAGATACTGATACGATACTGATATGCCTGCAATAGGCCAATACTGGCAGACTGATACAACAACTGACTAATATATTAAATCGGGCTCTAGTCTGGAACCAAAAACCTCTTCTGTTTTCATTCCTTTAAAGGGTCACTGTAACTGATAATAATAGTGTAATACCGTGACAATCTCATACCGTTGCAACCCTATTTTCCACTGATTGCGACCTTCTGACCTTTCCTCAAGCCCCACTGGCAGGTTACCTCATTCACAGCAAACACCAAAATCAAAAGACTGGTATGAAATGTTCCACATTTAAATGTCCCCAGGTGGTTAGCTTCCATGACTGTTTAGCCTCTGAAAAATATATTTTAAAAAATTAGCTGAGGCAATGAACACTATACCCATTAGACCAGTGGTTCCCAACCTTTTTCCTTAAGGGAGCCCTTTTCAATCATTGAGTAAGTGGCATATTTTATAGATATTTCTATTATATTCTATAACAGTATATTATAACAATAACAGTAGAGAACAACTGCTAAATTGTACAATGAACAGTGAACACAATAACTGCAGGAAGCTGGTGTAAAATCAGCAATTTGGATGAATTTTGAGCAGATTATTTCCTGTGAATATGGATCAGAGATGAGTTTTTCTGACATTTTTAGGATCTCTTTACACAGTTTGTATTGTGTAATTTTCTAATAGGCTTCTTTTTTGACAAACAGGGTTTTCTTGTCATTGTTCTATTAGCTCTTTGGTTGTTTTTACTTTTCTAATGCAGGACGAGGCTGTTCATGCCAGAAGTGAAGGCTCTGTCGAACCGCTAAGCTTGCTGTTCACTCTTCCACCGTGCCTGTTATCCTTGTTTAGATAATCTAAACTTTAAAAAGAACCCATTTAGTTTTCTTCACAGGAATTAACAAAATGTTGAGACATGGGCCTACTGTGTATATTTTTCAGGTTTTCTAACTTTTTTCTCCCTTAGAATTAAGAAGGCCTTGTGACAAGATTATCTTATTAAGATGTTAACATTAGACTAAATGACTAAGACTTAACCATATTTGCAGAAAAGACAGAGCGGCCTGTTCCACTGTCCAAATATAATAATCATAACAATCATAAACATGATTTATAACAAAAGAATACCAAAAGTATGGGTCAGAAATTCAGGGGAAAGGTTATGAGATATTAAGACTGTGTGT